ATCATGATGCGTAGTTGCTAGACCCCAATCTTGATTCGTTGGGCACCGATTTGATCGGCGATTAAGTAAAATGAGTTTTACTCTAATCGGGACTCTTGGGAGGAGTTCGTATAAGAACAATGTGTTGTTCGAATCACAAAGAGTTGTGAGCCCACGGCTAGCATACACCTGAACCATTGAGGGTCACACTTCTCGTGTAATACGGATCCTTGATAACAATGAGCATAGGTTAATATGTTAATCTTTGCAAAGTTGGAGGTCAATATGATTGAGTCCAAGATTCGTGATTGTGGATTACGAGTCGGAATAAACGTAGAGAAAGAGACATGCGGAAATTAGTGAACTTTTTAAATTGGAAAGTTTCCCGATTTAGCAGGTCCACTGAAGTGGAAGTTTCCATTTTTGGAAATTGAAAATTTCGAAGAGGCACTCGTATCGACGAGGATTTTGAGCTCGTCACAAATATAATTTTGTTATAATTTTGTGAACGATCGTTTGTTAGAAACGAGGCCGACGAGGGAATGGGCTTAATGCATCAATGGGTCAAGTTCAATGACTTAAACCTACAAGGGTTGAGAACCCTAGTATAAATAGACCTCAAACAAGAGTTTGAGATCAGATTTTTTTTTACTCCAAAACCCTAGCCGTCAAACCCTAGCCGCCCAAGTCTCTCGGCCGCTGCTGCCCCGCCGCACGGAAACCGCCGGTTTTTCCCTCTTCTTTCTCTCTCGTGTTTCCCTTGTTATCTAACCCCTTTGTATCTAGTGCTACAGTAGGGGGAGATCGGTTTATTCGAGGTGAAACCTAATTGGAGAGGAGCTGCTGCCCCGAATTAAGGAATCACCACTCCGCCGCTGCACCGCCCACGCGCCGCCGCCGCTGACTTGCACGCGCCGCCGTCGCCTCACCGTCGGACCAGCTGCCGCTTGGTGGTATTCTTGCAGCCCCTAGGAGTGGTATAACGCAGCTTGTACGGGTTTGAGTTCGATTTCGATTCGTCAAAATCTCACGCTACAAGAGGTAATCAAATCGAAACTTTCGTAAATTAATTCGAACATGTTTGTATGAATTTTAATTTACGAGCATGTGCGATATGTGATTACGTGTTTCGATTTTGTAATATGATGAACAAGCATGTTTTATATTTTTCGGTTTTACATGTTTTTAATAAAATCGATAATTACCATATGTATGGCGGAAGCGTTAAGGTACGTTGACTATGTGATTAGTTTATGCATGTAATCGAAACTAGTTCGATCTAAAAAATTTAAATTCCGTTGCGTATACATGCACGATCCTCAACACCCTTCGCCTTTCTGCCCCCTTCTCAGCGACTCCGAAGGACAATCGAAGTCTTCTACAGAAACGGTATGCAACGGTACGCGACAACCATATGCGACGGTTCGGAATTCTTCCATGGTTGATTACTCAAAAATGGAGTTTGTAAACAAGCTTGTTTTTTTAGATCTACAGATCTATGGTCGCACTATTTGTTGACTCATAAAATATTTGTTTCCTATGAAATTTGTTTTATCAGAGTCCACAACAAAGAAGAGATCATTGTTGTCGAAAAATATAAAATATTGTTCACTACACTCAGAGTCAACTATAAAATCGAATAGTTCACTATATTGTTCCCAAATTCAACTATAAAAATTAGATAGTCAACTATAATTTTTACGATGTAACTATAAAAAAATAGTAGTTAATTATATTGTTGCGAGAGTCAACTACAAAAATTAGATAGTCAACTATAATCGTTCCGATGTCAACTATAAAAATATGGTAGTCAACTATAATTTTTCCATGAATTCACTATATTATTTTTCAATTTAAGATACTATGGTGTTATAATATTGAATACTCATGATATAAATCTCATTTTCGGTGCAAACATTACTTTCATAGAGTAGAAAATAGATTGATTTCAATGACAAAAAAATGAGATGTAGAAGAAAAGGTAAAGTAGTGAGAAAAAATAGGGAAAAATAAAGAGAAAAAAATAAAACAGAAATAGAGGAGAAGAGAGGAAATGAGGAAGAGAAAGAAGAGAGAGAAGAGAGAGAGAAGAGGGAGAAAGGAGAGAGGAGAGAGGGAGAAAAACGATACGAGAAGAGAGGAAGTTGGGGAAGAGAGAGAACAAAGGACAGATGAGGGAGGAGAGAGGAGAGAGAAGAGAGAAGAAGAGATAGGAGAAGAGAGGAAGTTGGGGAAAGATAGAAGATCAATAAAATAACAACACGTCAAAAGTGAGGAAAAAAATGAAGAGAAGGAAATTAATGGAGAATATAAAATGATGGATAAGAGATAAATAAGGACAAGAGAGAAATTAGGAGAAAAAATATGGACAAGAAAAAAAGCATAATGGCATTAAAATAAGCTTAAGAGGTCACACAATTTAAATGAGTTTGTTTACAAATGGTCAATTATAAATTTGACCCATACTATATTATTTTATCTAATAAGGGGGTTATCTCTCATTTTCCCTAAAATAAATTGTATTAGACAATAATTTCAAAAAATATTCTATGCTGACTTATCCAATCTAAAAGCGCTTGTATTTGATAATTAATTGGTATGGATCTTTATAAAAAGAAACAAACATTAGACAATCCTAAAAAATTTAATGTCATAATTGTAATTATTATCTTTTTTCTTTACTAATTTGTAATTATATTTTGGTTAGAACAACGCCAACGGGTAGGCATTAAAATGGAGTATTAAATAGGTAATTGATGTTTGATATAATACTTTAATACTTTTAAAAAATTCTTGTATTCCAACTAGGGGTGGCATTGGTAGGGATACCGAAGTTTTTTTATCATTAGCGTGTATCAACTGTAACTTATGTTAATGAGAAGTTTCATACCATTACCACACCTAAACATTCGATATACCGTTGTTTGGTATACCGTTACTTTGGTACAATACCGTGGTACATGGTATTCTATCATTATCTTGTATTAAGCTAAAATTTGGTTAAAAAAAAAAGAAAATCTTGTCAATTTTACCCGTATATAAATTTTGTAATATATAAATTTATATTACTTTAACGCCTTCATACATTTGTTGAGCCAACATTACAATTAATTTTACAACGTCACATAGCGCAAATTTATCCATATATGTTTGGGTATTGTTAATATATATATATATATATATATATATATATATATATATATATATATATATATATATATATATATATATATATATATATATATATATATATATATATATATATATATATATATATATATATATATATATATATATATATAAAAAGAAAAAAACACAATTAGTTTGAGAAAAATCAAAATACTTAAATCTAATAAAATCAAGTATTAGAAAATATCTTTTTTAATAAAGTTAAAAATATTTTAGTATAGAAAATAAAGGGAAAAAAATAGAAATTGTGCTATAATATTAGGTATGTTACGGTATAGTATTACCATTGTATTGAGAATTACTATTACCGTACCAACTATTTGCGGTGCGGTACCAATACCGTACCAAATGAAATGGTAATTGTTACTATGGTATTTTTGTCGATAATCTTCGATTGGTATATCGTGGTGTTTGGCAATTGATAATATTTTTCCACCCCTAGTTCCAACCCACAAGTATCAAATATATTATTATTTAAATAAAATAGAATTAAAAATAAATTAATAGATTTATTTATTCCCTATAGTATTCCCGATTATATAGCAAGTTGTTGAGATTTTAATTTTTGTCCCGTTGTGTGATTTCTAATTTTTAGGAATATTTGATTATTTTCTTTTTGAGTGCGGTTGTAGTATAAAAAAAAACTAATTTTGAATTCACTATTTGTAGGGGTGTGCACGACTCGTTTCTATTCGGTTCAGTTTTTGGCTAAAACTGAACATGAACCGAATATATCGGTTTTTGTAAAATTAAAAATCGTGTATGTCGGTTTTTTATCGGTTCGGTTTCTTTCGGTTCCGCTTCGGTTTCGGTTTTTTCGGTTCGATTTCGGTTATTTTTCGGTTCAAGAGTAACTATATATTCAAGTTGTACAAACAAAAGAATACAATTACAATTACTTTTACAAAACTTTCATCTACCACATTATTAAAAGTTAAAATCATGAACTCAAGTAATTTTTTAATTACTAAATAAATAAAATACAATGTCTCAATTTATGAACAAATACTTAGAACGAGACAAGTGATTGAAAGATACAAAATGAAAATTTGGGTAAAATAATACGTATATTATATAAAATGAAGTCATTTTATAATTTTGGTTCGGTTCGGTTATTTACCTTTCCACCATACCGAACCGAATAATTCGGTATTTCAAAAATAAAAAACTGTACATGCGATTTGCTATTCGGTGCGGTTTGAAACAGGCTCGGTTTTTCGGTATTTTGGTTCGGTTTTTGCTCACCCCTAATTATTTGCCCCTGAAGAAAAGCTACTAAAATTTGGAATTCAAATTTGCCCCTTATCACTCTTAATTAGTTCATAAAAAAATAATTAATAACAATAATATTTTAGTATTTATTATGTTATTTTGGTATAATCTATACATATATATTTATTGAGTATCTTAATATAGGCTGGAAAAACAAAAGAAATATAATATGATAATGATTGAGTAATTCTTAACAATCAATTGTGATCATAATGGAGTTGGATTTCATTACAGCACAAAATCACCCCAATTGTTCTGCCTTTTAACAAAACAATTAACATTAACATTGAGGGTGCACTGAGGGATTTGGAGGAGGGATTTCAAATCCATAATAATAAATTTTTTGAACTTGTTTGGATTGAGGGATTTGTGAATAAATTTCAAATCCACACCCCTCATTTTTAGTTGTTTTTTGAGCAATTGAGGTGGAATTCAAATGACTCTAAATTTGAGTCATTTCAAATTCATTCCCCAAATCTAATCACTTTCTAAATCCCTCAATCCAATCGCATTCTTAATCAAAATGCGTTACCAAACAACTAATAATAATAATATCTCTCTCTATGCAACCTTAGCATCCATAATACTAATAATATATTCAATCTCCTCGGCCACCTCCTTCATGGAAGGCCTATTCTGCCGCCGCTCCTCCAAACACCCCACCGCCAGAAACCCCAACGCCTTCATTGTTTCCAACTCCATCCCACTTGCCCCTTCCTTCATCTTCAAATCCACACCGTCCATCACCCTCTCCTCCGCCACCAATCTCCGCACATAAACCGCCAGGTTCACATCCTCCGATGCCCTATCGAAATCGATCGCTCTCTGACTAGTCAAAAGCTCCAAAAGCACAACACCGAAGCTATAAACATCGCTTTTATCCGTCAACTGATAGTTCCTATAATACTCCGGATCAAGATACCCCAGCGTACCCTGAGCGCAAGTCGACACGTGGCTGGCATCAGCACGCGCCAAGCAAGACAGCCCGAAATCCGAAACCTTCCCGTTCAAATTCCCGTCGAGCAGTATATTACTCGACTTCACATCTCTGTGATAGATCGGAGGAACTGCAGAGAAGTGGAGGTAAGCCAGCCCCTCTGCAGTTGCTTGAGCAATAGCAAGCCTCTGTTTCCAAGAAAGATTCCCTTTCCGCAAGTGATCCGACAGAGTCCCGTTCGGAATATACTCGTAAACGAGCAAGGGCTGCTCTAGCTCGACGCAGCAGCCCAAAAGGCGAACGAGGCTCTTGTGGTTGACCTGGCATAGTATTTTGACCTCGTTCAGGACTTGGTCTGTGCTTTTGGCGTTTCCAAGTTTCGCGCATTTGACCGCGATTAGGGTTCCGTCTTGAAGGATGCCTTTGTAGACTTCGCCATAGCCTCCGGAGCCGAGGAGGTTTTGCTCCGACAAGTTGTTTGTGGCTTTTTTAATTTCTCTCGGAGTGAAGATTTTGGCGGTTCTTCCACCTCCTCCTGCATTGAGGATGTCTTCGCGCTCTTGAGTCACGCGTTTTTGGTCTCGTTTGATTCGTCTGCGGCGGTTGTGGACTAAATATCCGATCAACGCTGCTATAAGTACTATTCCAATGCATATGCTTATACCTGCAGCATAAATATACGTAAAGTAATAGACGAAAAGATTACTGGCTAAAAAGTTTTACAATAATATACACATATATATAACCGCTCGATTTCGATACGGGTGCGATTCGTATCGATGGCGAAGAACATTAACGAGAAGAAAGAAGTACCTGCTATAAGTACAATTCGGTGATAGCTACAACCATCCGGGTTTTGGCACTCTGCATATATATATGTAATATTATTATGATCAAGATAAAAACATATCATAGATTTCATTAACATTAAAATTTAAAAATAAAAAATAAAAATAAAAAAAACCTCTGTAAACGGACCTTGAGAACAGAGTCCAGCAACGGGGTCCCACCGCAACCCGGAATTGCAAAAGCACCTGTTAACCTCAATGCCGCCATCGGAGCTCCGATCGGGTCCACAAGTGGAACCCGACCCGCAATCCGCCTGGACAACACACGTGGGCTCCGGCGGCAAGGCCCACCGCAACGCCACGGCGGGCTGTGGCCACCTGTTAACGGGCAGACCGGGATCCAAATCGACGAAACTCGTGTACGCCCGGCAACCCGAATCCCGCATACGTATCCTGCGGATAGTCCCACCGGAATGGAGCTCGCAGCACGGCGCGTTGCGGCACGCGCCGCCGGTGACGTTGAGGTAGGGGTGGCAGAGGCTGGCCTGGGTGCAGTTGAGGTGGGACTCCGTAATGGATTGGGTGCAGTTGAGGTATAATATGGTGTTGCCGCTGCTGACGTTGAAGGGGCCGGTGGGGTTGAGCTGGAGGCCGTTGGAGGGTAGATCGGCTGCGACGCAGGCGTTGGGGAGTAATGGTGAGGGCGCTATCGTCAGCCGTTGGATGGAAGGGGAGATGGACGTTATCGGGTATGTGTTGTTGGAGGAGTCGAACAGAAGCTTGCCTGCGACGCAGCGGATTTTGTACGACTGGTCCCCGCAGTTGGCGGCGGTGCTCAGAGGGTAGGGGACGGCGGTTGTGCCGCAAGGCGGGCAGGGAAGGAGGGAGAGCGCGCAGACGGCGTACGTTAGTAGCAGCGCTGCAAGGATGGGGAGGAGGAGAGGTTTCGCCATGACGGCGGAACGGTGGCGGACGGCGTGTTTGGGTGGTGCAAAAAAAAAGGAAAAGAAGAGTGAGTTTTGGTGGGAAAACAAAAGGTTTACTGCGAGTGATTTATTTGTTTGCCGTTTTGGAATATATAAATATTAATTGAGGCAAATCAGTGGTGCTTTATTGCGTAGAGGTTTCTTTCCGTTAATTCGCATATTTACTTTCAAATTTTATTTCCTAAATAATATTATGGAAAACAAATGTGAATATATATATATATTACTGAAATTATCTTTAACACAACTGTCAATCAAAGTAGACTGATAGGCAATGGCGCCCATTAGTTTTTAGGGACGTTTGACTGTAGATTAAATTATTTCATTACAATACCATTTCTGTCTTAATTTTTTTTCTTTTCCAAATTCGAAGTTTAATATTACTACAGGGGATAATTACAGCTTTAGTCCCCCAAGTTTGCACAGTTTTTACTTTTGGTCTCCCATTTACCGTCGTCAATAAAATATACACTAAGGTTATCACATTTTAACACATTTAGTCCCTCCGTCTGTTTGACCGTCAAGAAGTAACAGTCAACTGCTGAATTATGGCTGAATTTAGGATTTTTCATTGAGAAAATTGCAATCAGACCCCTGCATTCTTTTAAAATATTCTAAAAATCCCTAAAATATTATTCAACCCTAATTTCATCATTTAACAAATTTTGACAATCGATCCCGATTTTTACCACCATTACCGCTGAATGTTGACCGCCGTTAATTTTTTATTTTTTTTACTTTTCTTTTCGGCATTGACTTTTTTTTTTTAATATTGTTTTTGACGCCGTTCACCGACATTGTATTCTCGGTTAACAATGTTGACTTTTTTATTTTTCTTGATTTTTTCGAACTTTTTCGGTGACTTTTTTTTCCGATCGACACAATAATAATACTATATTAATATCTAGTATCGTAATATTAAAATTACAAACTTCTAACAAAGTTTTTATCTAAAATTTTGGGGCCTAAATGCAATTTAAAAAAATTCTAAAATCCATAATTTCTTCCCCTCAATTTTTTTCGTGGAACCGCCAGTGCATCCCAAATTTCTTCCCAAAAATATATGAGGAAGATGAATTAGGCATGTGTGGAGTAATTTGGAAATGAGATAACCACTCTAGTACAACGGTTTTTGGTGCTAACACTGGCCGTTAATTTTAATCTTTTTTTTTTGTCTTAAATTATTTCCGTCATTGAGTTGCAATGACTTTTTTTTTTTTTTTTTTTTTTTTTTTTTTTTTGACTACTTTTATGATATTATTTTTCTGGCTGATTATCAACTTTGACTTTTTTTTTAATTATATTTTTCCCACTACTCAACAATTTAAATAAAAATCAAGAAAAAAAGTGTCAACGTTGTTAACCCGACATTCAACATCGGTCAACAACGGCAAAAAAAAATCAATCGAAAAAAGATTCAACCGAGTTAAAAATAAAGTCAATGTTGGATTACCCGATTTCGAAAAACTGGGGTCATTGGTTAATTGATGAAATTGGGGTTAAATTATGGTTGGATAAAATTTTAAAGGTTTTTAGAATATTTGGAAAGATACAAGGGTCTTATTGCAATTTTCTCAATGTAAAACCCCAAAATTCTACTGTTGACCGTTACTTCTTAACGGTAAAACAGATGGAGGGACTCAATGTGTTCAAATGTGACAACACTAGTTTATATTTTGTTGACGGCGGTAAATGGGGGACCAAAAGTAAAAAACGTGCAAACTTGAGGGACCAAAACTGTAATTATCCCTCACTTTGCAATAGAGGTGGATATCGGAGGGAGTGGATCAAAATGGTTTTTTCGGGAACAAAATTCAATTTTTCTCAAAAGTGAAAACTGGGTTCTATTTTATGTTCCAAAAAAAACCGGAATGCAAAAAAAGTTCATTCCGATATCGGAATGCCTCGAAGTCAGCTTATTATCGGAAATTTTTAAAATTCATTAGTTTATAAATCTCTTATTCCAAATTCGGATATAATGAGAATTTCCACAATATTTTTCTATCTTTTAGAAATGTTGCAGAAAAATGTAAGGAAATCTATAAGACAGTTCGACAAAACATAATAAATAATAAAACCACATGTAGGAATGAACAACAAATTGAAACAAATATTTTCTGATAAGAAAAAATTCAACATATAATTTCTGATACCAATTTTTTTCTTCTAACTATTTAATTTACTAGACCCTTTGATATTTATATTTTATATTAAAAATATAACATAAGTTATATTATATATATATATCTATATATCTATATATCTATATAATGGCGGCGGTTATATGCAAGTCAATTTTTTTATTAGTTCAAGACCTCCAACATAAAAATACTAATTTACCCTTAACGAAATTTAAAATTAAATAAAAAACACAAAACATTAAAAAAAAAAATCATTTCCTTTGTGCAAGACCAAATAAAATACATAAATCCAGAAACTCCTCTTCCTTATTTCACGACTTAAAACTCTTCTTCTTCACAAACCCACCAAGAAATCCTACACACCAAAATTATCAAATACATACCAAACATTCACGATGGAACCAGAAAACAATGATATGGTGGTTTACGAGGGTGGAGAACAAAATGAAATATGTTTTAACCGTTTATTTTTGCTTTTGGGTCGTTTTTTTTTGTTGGGAAAAAAATTCGACGATACAAAAAATCGGTCTGCAAATACCGATTTTTGTTACTAAAGTCGGTAACCACATTCCGATTATTTTAATAAAAATCGGTACTTAAAAACCGATTTTTGTAGTAAAAATCGGCATGACAACACCGATTTGTTTTTGTATTATCGGTATTGTCATGCCGACTTGTACTACAAAATTCGGTTTTTAAATACCGATTTTATTATCTTTGTTTTTTTAAGACCGTTTTCTCATACTCTCGTGCATCAACCTAGGGGATTGATGGAGGATTATTCAAATGAATTATCTAACGAATAAATATTTGAGATACGAAAAACTCTACTCGATTGTGTTAAAGGAGTGGTAGACGCCACCGAATGGTGATAAACATTTTCGTTTCAAATATTTAAAAAATATCAATTAACCAAATATATAATGTATTATTTAAAAAAAATTCAAAAAATATCGGTATTCGAAAACCGATTTTGTACTCAATAATCGACATTAGAACGCCGATTTTGACTTGTAAAGTCGACGTTGTGTCGCCGATTTGGTTAACAAAAATCGGCATTATGACGCCGATTTTCGTCTACAAAATCGGTCTGGATAAACTGATTTGAGAAACCAACGAAAAAAAAATAAAAAAACCAATTTCAATCTCAATTTTTTTTTCCAAAATCGGCCAAATCATTGCAACCCAACAAGAAATAAGCATAGATTAATGTTCATTCATACATATCTAGCATAGATTAATATTTGGCAGTCGTGATATTTCTTTTTTGTTTTTTTTTTTTGTTTTTTTTTTTTTTGATTTTTGGTCTTGAACAAATTAAAAATAAGATTTATTTGTATTTGAGTATTATTTGTGGATAAGGGTATATTTGTCATCTTTGGTCTTGATGTAATAAAATTAGATTAATTTACGGGCTTGAACTAATTAACTCCTTTATGTGGTTTTAAACTAATAAAAAAATGGGCTTGCATATAACCACCGCCCTATATAATATATAAAGGGAGAATACACAATCAAGATTTTTGAATCTTCAATTTTGATCCAACATTTTTTCATTTCTTTCATTTTTGGACTTCTTTCCCTAATTATTATTGCATTCCAATTTATCACTATGAAACATTGTATTAATATATAGAATGTCATTAAACTTTATTTTAAATTATGGGAATTTCAACTCTAATGAGGGTTGGTTCCTTGTGGGCACCAAGTCTGGGTCCGCAACCTTAACGGGCTGTTGAGTTACCATGATTTACATTCCTCCATCAAATACTTGTCGGGCCAAGGGATGGGGACCTTGGGGGCGAGGAATTTCGCCTTTTGATACAACAATTTATCCACTTTAGAAATTTCATATTTTTTGTATTTTTTGCCAACCATGAAAAATATTTTTAAAATAGCAATTGTTAATAAAATAATTTATATATGAAAAACATTGTAAATTTAATACGTACTTAAATATAAATATTATTAATTTCAATTTTATTATGCAACTTTTATTTAATTATTATTTTTCATTAATTTAAATTATTTTAACATATGTAATTACAATATATGGAGAACGTTGTTATTAAAATAATTTAAATTAATGGAAAACATCGTAACTAAAATAGTAAATTTAATACTTACTTAAATATACATATTATTAAATTCAATTTATTATGCAAATTTTATTTAATTATTATTTTATTTATTTAATTATATTACTTTGCAAATTTTAATATAATGCTTATTTTAATGGAAAAAATAGAATGCTTATTTTAATAGAAAAAATATACCATAATATAATGCTTATTTGATTATATTGTTTTGTAATAAGTATATTTATTACGTATTAAAAAAAATCTATATAATATATCTACATAATTAATAAAGGTAATTTACAACAAAAAAATGTCATCTCCAATTATGACCCTATTTATTTTTCTTCATTTCACTTTGGTTCACTTTCCTTTTATACTATCCCATGCACAGTAATTTTATTTTGAATTATTTATTCTACTAGTATTCACCCGTGCGATGCACGGGGTGGCATATTTTCAACTGGAAATGCATGTCTGAAAAATAAATTTACGCATATATAAATTATTACGCTCATTGAATTTAAATACAAAAAGCGACCAGCAATATTGAAGCATCATGTTCTTCATAGTTACATCATAAGAATAATATTAAAATATTAGTATATCGTCAAAAATAAATCTTAAAGATAATAAAATTTGCACTGAGCATCCTAGGGACATGATTGAAAATAACATCGCACGGGGGAAATTATATAGAGAAGAAACACCTGCCAAAGAATAAGTTGTTAAAAAAAAGACATGTTACATGAATAATTGGTAAATATGAAAATATTCTCTACCTTCAAATTCGATAATAATTGGTAAATATGAAAATATTCTCTACCTTCAAATTCAATGAAATACTTCCTTGTACACGACATTTCTAGTAACATTGGTGAGTTCACTCGAATCCAACTTGATGAATATCTTAATGCCACCTCTGCTCGTAACTCCAGTGCAACATATAGTTGATCATGGCTGAAGACATGCTTAGGAAGATACAAACCAACATGCGAAAGAGTTTGACCTTGGCTTTTATTGATCGTCATTGCAAAAGAAACAATCAACGGAAACTGTCTTCTCTGAAATTTCATTGGCAGTCCGGTAGATGGTATTAAAGTCATCCGATGAATGAACACCATGTCACCGATATTTTTTTCCGGAAAGACTTTTGCAACTCAGAACGTGAATGCTAGTTCTAATAATTTGAAGTTTGGTCCCGTTACACAATCCTTTAGCTTGATCGATGTTTCTTATTAGCATAACGGGTGCACCAATCTTGAACTTCAACGCATGAGAACGAAGTTCGGAGCATCTTATTGTGTTGAGGAATTCAGTCGAATAAATTTCTGCATTATCCTCCATTGTTTGCTCGTCCCTAAACATACTATCTGAGCTCAGGTACACCTTCTCCTCTCCTGGAAGGAGAGACATTAAGTGATCGTTCACAAACTCGACGCATTCATTAGTTGGTGCAAGAATTGCTCTCCCTTGAAAATAATCTGGATCATATATGTTACTCAACAATCCGGGTAAACGAATTCCAGTAGGTCTCTGAATGGATCTTCTGAATCACCAATCAACATGTCATCGGGAATCACTATCGAAGCTTCACCATGATTTTGTTCCCCAACATCCTCACTACCAACCTTCAGTATCCAGTCTCCAAATTCTTTTACCTCATCCACGTTAGATGGAGAAGAGCATGACTGCAATCTCATGTTCTTAGTCAACTTCATGACACGACAGAAATTCCACAGCGAAGAGGAGTTTATCGTAGCATGTACTATGTCCTGCCTTGATGCTTTGAGTACAACTGGTAAAATCTGCCTAAAATCTCCTCTAAAAACAACCACCTTTCCACCAAAACAGTATCTATGCATCATAGGAGCCTCATAGGAGCCTATAATAATTGACTTCATTGTCTTGTCAAGCGCTTCAAAACAGTATCTATGCATCATAGGAGCCTCGTCCCATATAATAAGCTTTGCCCTTATGAACAACTCCGCCTGTGGACTTTGGTGCGATATGCTACAGGTGGAACTCTCGTGTACATTTATGGGTAGTCCGAATCGAGAATGAGTTGTTCTTCCACCGGGGAGCAATAACGATGCTATACCACTCGATGCAACGTTAATTACAATCTCTCCCTTGGAACGAACTGCAGCCGAAAGAGTTTACCCATAGAAACGTCTTTCCCGTTTCACCATGGCCATATAGAAAGAACATTCCACCACGGTCATTGGATACAACATCCATGACTACATCATAAACCTTTGTTTGCACGTCTGTAATTCAAGCAAGACACCGTTGAAGTTCCCTACCCATTTCAAAGCGGTCGTAATCCAGTTCATCTAACACCAATATATTTACTGTGTCATCCGCTGAGAATTCGATTGGAACTGGCATGGGCGCGTAATTTCGCAAGCTTTTACCATTGCTTTGCAATATTTTTTCTATTTCGGTGAGAGTATAGTTCTTCAAGCTTTCATCCGGTATATGTAAATTTTCAAAAAAAAAATGGATAAATTATGTGCATTTAGTTCAAAACGACAATATTAAAAGGATGAGTAATATTTAAAATCTAATTGAATAATGCGTTATACAAATTGCCATACCTGGATTAGTATGAAGACTTTGTTGTTTGTAAGCAATACCCTCAGCCAAATCCAACCAACAACTTTGTCAAACATGTTCGGGCCGACTTAAGCTATTGGAAAGAAGCATAACTACAAATAACCTTCTTATATAATCCCTCGGTGCCCAAGTATTCACTTCTATTAATGAATATATGTATTCTTTGTCGTTATCTAATAAACCCAACACATAACATGCATCCCTGAACGTAGGGTAGACGGTGTCAAAAACTTTTTTGATGTACTCGTAGCACGTACATCCCCTCTGAATGTTAAGTAGCAATCTAAGGTATTAGTCTTTCCCTTTCCAGGGGGAACATTCGCAAGCCTACCAATAGAAAATCCTTTTTTCCTTGGCGCCCAAGTTCGAGAATCCTCTTTTAACCCAAGTTCGCAAACCTCCACATTGCCTCACATGCCGAAAGATATCTGCAGTCATAGTACAGCTTTATCTAATCACAAATCTCAGCACCGCCATCTGTATTGCGTGTTTCATAAAATGCCGCCGTAACTCGGCCATGCCCCTTGTTTACGTATTTGAACATGTATTTGATTGACTTGTTCTGGTTGCATAACTCGATATTAATGTGAGATCGGTATTTACTCAACAATATACGATTGTACGGGACTACAAACCCATTGTTAAGAGTAGTCTTATTCTTCGTAACTGTTCTGCCATCTTCCATTCTCCTGTACCATCTGCATCTGATTCAGTGCGCTGCACAAATGGCTTTGGAAATCGCTTCGTGCAAACTCGATCCTTCATACAGGGAGATTTCAAATTCGCCTGACCGCACGGTCCATGTATCATATACTTCTCCACCAACTGGTACATCTTTCGGTCGTTTACTTCGTCAGGATTTTCAGCACATATGATCCTATCAATTTCTTCTGGGTTATTGGGCTTATCGTCATTATGAAACTACAATAAAATATGTGCATGCGGTAGACCTCGTTTCTGAAATTCAATTAAGCATATATCTGCATAGAAAATATAAACATATGGTATTAAAAAAATATGCATTAATTTAGTTAAGGAAGCAATAAGTAGTTAAACTCACACATGAGCAAATTCTTTAATTTATATGAATGAAGTAAATGTATAATTATAAACGGAGATTTAATTAAATACTTGCATGCTGTAATACGTCTGAATATACAACCTTTCTTGATTTCTGTCATCATACTATCGAGCTTCATCTTGAACACACGACAAATAATGTCTGGCTAATCCTCCGGCCTGAGATTTGTATCTTTCAACACCCTTTGTATTTCTGGCCATTGAGGATTGCATGTGATGGCAATGAAGAGGGTTGGAGATCCAATCCAGTTACATATTTGAAGAGCATCAACGAAGTTGTTAAACATATACCTTGGACCTGCGGTGAACGACCCTGGAATTATAATGCGTTGTCCAATTGATTTACCCTCAGTGTCTCCTTTAAAAATATTTTCTTCGATACCCTTGTACATGTCAACCCTAAGTTGATCTTGATTGAACCTTATGAAATTCAACCTCTGTGACTCTACCATCGAAAATACATCAACACAGAACTGCTGAAATAACTTCTTGAAATGCAAAAGTAACAAATGTTATCAACGTCGTTTCTGGATTAGATATGCAAAGAACTCTCGCAAGCTTACCTTCCTCCATTTTCTATTATCAGCAAGCGAAGATTCTCTCAAATAGATATCATCTCGATAATCATCTTCCCTGTAAGGAAATAAAAGAGGATACTGTAGAGGCAAGTAAAGAGGATGGAGCTCACTGATTCGTTGAAGCTTATTTGAGCGTGTCTCAGCTACAATATCCCTAAACGCATGTAACGAATCCAATACAATGCAATTGACCTGCTATTTTGTACAATGATTATACAAAATAAGTAAAACGTTACCAAAATAATACAAATATAAATATTTAATGACATAAAATCATTCTACAATAAATTACCTTGATAAAAATATTGAGTGGAGCCCGTAGCAAGTTCCTAGTACAATGCAAATTAACCTACAAATGAGGAATGCCAAAACATATAAGTTATACAAAATAAAGGTCATTATGTAAAATTGTATAAGATTTTATATAGTTACCTTCGTATATGCCGAAAAACATCCTTGTACCACATTATTTGTAGTTGGTTGTATCGCCAGATTCCGACGTGATCAAAATCCTTATGCCACTTCAACTAACTCTCGAGAGTGCGACATAGAGTTGTCCATGACTGAAAACATGTCTGAGCAAGTGCAATACTACATGGGAAAGAGTTTGTCTTTAACTTTTATTGATTGTTATTGCAAAGGAAACCATCGCCGAAGACTGACGTTGCTAAAATTTAATAGGCGATGTAGAGTTGGACGGTACCAATATCATTTAAGCAATGAACGTACACTATATGGTCAACATGTTTATCGGGTAGTGTCTTGCATTTGAGAACGTGTTTTCCCATATTAATAACCTAAAGCCTAGTTCCACTGCACGATCCTCTAGCCTGATCAATATTTTTGATGAGCATAACGGGAATACATCTTTTCAATGCAACCTAGGTGGAATTCTGGAGCACGATATGGTGTTGAGGAACTCGGATCTATGATACTAACTCCTCATTGTACACACTATCGGAATTCAAATAAACCTTCTCTTCTCCAGTTATGAGCGACAAAAAATGATCATTCACAAAATCGACACTTTCATTAGTCGATGCAATAATTGTTATGGCCTCAAAGTACTCTGGATTGAACAGGTTGCTCACCACATCCAGGTAAACAAACTCTATAAGATCAAAAAATGGATCTGCAGAATCACGGATAAGCATGTCATAAAAAATTTCAATTTCAAAATTATTTTATTAGTATTAGTCTTAGTCATAATCATCATACTAATACTAATATTAATATTAATATTAATACTAATACTATTACAAATACTTATACTAATACTAATACTAATACTAATACTAATACTAATACTAATGCTACTACTAATACTAATACTTTAATGCTAATATTAATGTACTAATGCCAATACTAATGTACTGATACTAAAACCAATATCAATACCAAAACCAATACTAATACCAATACAAATATCAATACCAATTGTTTTATTAGTATTAATATTAATCATATTCCTCATACTAATACTAATACTAATACTAATACTAATACTAATACTAATACAAATACTAACACTTATATTAATACTAATACTAATACTAATATTAATACGACTACTAATGTTAATACATTAATGCTAATATTAATGTACTAATGCCAATACTAATGTACTAATACTAAAACCAATAGCAAAAAAAATAGCAATACCAAAACCAATATCATTACTATTACCATTACCATTACCTTTACCTTTACAAATATTAATACTAATCTGATAATAATACTATTACTATTAGTAATACTAATGCTACTGATAATCCTAATATGCTAATGTTAATGCTAATACCATTGTCAATATCAATTATAATCTTAATCATAATCCTAATGCTAGTGTTAATGCTAATCCTAATCCAAATACGTTAATACTAATGTCAATCCTAATATGCTATTATTCACATTAATCCTAATACGCTAATGCTAATATATTAATGTTAATTCTACTTCTACTTCTAATGTTAATGGTAATCCTAACCCTAACATTAATGCTAATGCTAATCATATATAACCAAAATTACAATCCTAATATTAATTCTAATCATAATTATAATCATAATCTTAATCCTAATCATAATTATAGTCCTAATCATAATGCTAATCTTAATTTTAATGCTAATTCTATTCATAATAATAATACTAATCATAGTTCTTATCCTAAAAATACACATATGCTAATGCTAACGCTAATCTTAATACTAATTATATTATGCTAATGTTAATGCTAATCCTAATCCGAATCCTAATTCTAATTATAATGCTAATATTAATACTAATTCTACTAATTCTAGTCATAATGCTAATCATAATACTAATATTCATACTAATAGTAAAATCCTAATGTACCTAATGCTAACACTAATACTAATACTAATATTAATACTTATATGATAATGCTAATTCTAATTCTAATTCTAATTCTAATATGCTAATGCTAATATGCGGCTTAATCCCACTTTGCACCCTTGAAATATGCCATTTTGGCACTTTGCACCCTCGAAATAAATTAATAGTACTTTGCACCCTCGAAACATAATAAATCATGCATAATGCATCCCAAATGAATGTTTAAAGCTAATAAATGTAATTTAATATTTTTAGTGGTAGTTTTTAGGATGACAAATGTCAAATAATTTTTTTTTATTCATCAATCATTTTGAAACTATAAAGTGCATAAATAAAAATACATCTCATCAACTTATTTAAAAATTATATTTTTTATCCCAATAAAATATTTTACGAAAAAAAGAATCATTCGTCTATTTCGTTATCAAGTTATCTGAAAATCATATTTTTTTTCCAAATATTTTTACTTCATATTTCCACCAGTTACAATAAAAAAAATCCATCAATCGAATAATTTAGTGATAAAATTTTATTTTAGTTTATTTTGTAAGAAAATATAGTTTTTTCCAATAATCAGGTGTGTTTTTTTTCCGCACTTTTTGCGCTCGAAATTAGGTTGGAGGTTGAAGAAAATAATAATTTATGTATTATTTTGCATCCCTGATAAAAAAAAAACAATAAAAAAAATTTCCTTCATTATTCAGTTCAGGGTGCATTGTGAATAATTTATTGTGTTTTGAGAGTGCAAAATGCTATTATTGTTTTTCAAGGGTGCAAAGTGCCAAAAGGCTCAATTTCAAGGGCGCAAAGTGGAATTAAGCCGCTAATATACTAATGTTGATCGTAATTCCAATTCTACTGCTAATGCTTATGCTAATCATAAACATAATCCTAATTTTGATGCTAATCTAAATATGCTAATGCTAATGATAATGTTAATGCTAATACTAATATTAATTCTAATACTAATCCTAATTTTAATGTTAATTCTAATTCTAATCATAATCCAAATACTAATGCTAATATTAATCCTAATCGTAATCCTAATGTTGATGCTAATTCTAATTCTAATACTAATCATAATCTTAATCCTAATACCAATCTTAATCCAGATAGGAATACTAATACTAATATGACTTCTAATTTTAATCCTAATTATAATTCTATTACTAATACTAATCTTAATTCCAGTGTTAATCCTAATATACTAATGATTATCCTAATATGCTAATGTTAATCAGAATATATTTATGTTAGTATTCTAATATTAATCATAATCCTACTACTAATCCTAATTTTCATATTAATCGTAATATACTAATGCTAATGATAATACTAATGTTAATCATACTCTTAATCCTAATGCAAATCCTTATTATTATCAAAACCGTAATCTTAATCCTAATGCTAGTGTTAATTATAATATTACACTTAATTATAATCATATACAAATATTAATTATACTACTACTACCAATACTGACACTAACACTAACACTAACACTAACACGTACACGTAACACTAACAGTAGCACTAACACTAACACAAATATTTGTACTAATACTAAAAATACTAATACTAATACTAATTATACTATTATTTATACTAATATCAATATAATACTAATATTAATACTAAAACTAATACTAATACTGATACTGATACTAATATTAATCCTAATATTGATAATAATTCTAATACTTAATAGTAATACTTATACTAATATTATTACCATTACAATATTACTATTGCTCATACCATTACTAATATTATAACTCATATTAATATTAATTCTAATTTTAATACTAATTGTAATGATGA